GTATGTCTGTTATTGGTATGTATGTATGTCTGGGGAAACATACATACCTAGAAAATGAGAGGTATGTATGTATGTTAAAGGTATGTATGTATGTCTGGGGTAACATACATACCTAGAAAACTATAGGTATGTATGTATGTCTGGGGAAACATACATACCTAGAAAATTATAGGTATGTATGTGTGTCTGGGGAAACATACATACCCAGAAACTTATAGGTATGTATGTATGTCTGGGGAAACATACATACCTAGAAACTAGAGGTATGTATGTATGTCAAAGGTATGTATGTATGTCTGGGGAACATACATACCTAGAAAATTATAGGTATGTATGTATGTCTGAGGAAACATACATACCTAGAAACTATAGGTATGTATGTATGTTAAAGGTATGTATGTGTGTCTCGGGAAACATACATACCTAGAAAATTTAAGGTATGTATGTATGTCTGGGGAAACATACATACCCAGAAAATTATAGGTATGTATGTACGTTAAAGGTATGTATGTATGTCTGGGGAAACATACATACCTACAAAATTATAGGTATGTATGTATGTCTGGGGAAACATACATACCTAGAAACTATAGGTATGTATGTATGTTAAAGGTATGTATGTGTGTCTGGGGAAACATACATACCTAGAAGATTAAAGGTATGTATGTATGTCTTGGGAAACATACATACCCAGAAAGTTATAGGTATGTATGTACGTTAAAGGTATGTATGTATGTCTGGGGAAACATACATACCTACAAAATTATAGGTATGTATGTATGTCTGGGTTCGTAGTGTTGCTCCTAGTAGCGATGCCCTTTGCCCCTAGTAGCGTCCTTGCTCCTAATAGCGATGCCCTTTGCCCCTAGTAGCGTCCTTGCTCCTAGTAGTGATGCCCTTTGTTCCTAGTAGCGTCCTTGCTCCTAGTAGTAAGGCCAGGAGCCCCCAGTAGCGTCCTTCCTCCTAGTAGCTTCATGAAAATACTTCATTTCTCCTCTTGCCAAGCTGCGACTTGTAGGACCACGGAGTGGGGCACACATCGTCCGTCATGCCGCAGGTCGGATCCTCTGAGCTGAAGATCACCCAGACCTGGCCAAGCACAAAGACAGCATCAAAAAAACACCCATGTGTTCTTCAAAAGTTTGTTTTTGTACATTCAGTGACAAGAACCGCTACTAGGGTGGAGGTCATCCATCTTAGGTTGGAGGCCGTCGCTCTTAGGTTGGAGGCCATCGCTGGGCGCAACATCCGCATCCCGCCCGCGCTCTTTGGCTAAAGTAACGCTTAAAGCCGCTGAAGGCTCGCTCCCTAAAGGCTCGCCTCTTCCACCCTAGTAGCTTCTTGCTCCTAGTAGTAAGGCCAGGAGCCCCTAGTAGCGTCCTTGCTCCTAGTAGCAATGCCCTTTGCTCCTAGTAGCGTCCTTGTTAACCCGTTTTCCACCATTTCATCATACTTCACCTCTTCCTCTGGCACTGCACGGGTGTAGACACGGATGTTGCTGTACTCGCCGGGGCTGGTCGGGCTCACCAATCCTCCAATGTCAAGCCTCAAGATAATCAAGCAATCAAAGCTACTAGCGTCTTGTTACTAGTAATGCCCTTGTTACCAGTAGCGATGCCCTTGTGACTAGTAGCGATGCACTTGTTACTAGTAGCTTTGCATGGATTGCCAAGATGCCTGTCTTCTGGATCTACCCATATGAAGTGGGTCAGCTTCTCACTGTTGACTTCTACCTCGGCAAGTCAAAAGTGGGAAGTTAGCCCAAAAAGAGGCCTCCTCGGTTCCGACTTGGCACTTTCAGCTTATGGCCCATCCCTGCACCCATAAAGAATTGCTTATTTAGTTGTCAAAGCCAAACTATGAATCGTCTTGTGGAATACACATCCCTCAATCGGCGCCAGGCCGGTTCAGCTTGAACTCCATCCACCCAAAAGTAGGTGCGACCCATGCCTGGTGCACGAATCAAGTCACAGTCAAAATGGTTGGATTAATGTCATTGTCAAACCTCGCACTACCTTGTACAAGTTCTTCCTCAGCGTCAACCCTATTGACTCATAACTCATAACTCCACTAGGCTTGGAATAAGACTAGTCAATTTCTGCCAAACGTACAGAAATCGGACAGCACAGTTGTCTGCCTGCCAAGCCGACCCCCAGATCCCAAACGAAGGCAATGTGGAACCAATCGCCAGGCCCTTTCGTCTGATTCTGCGTCACGTCCTGCACAGATGTGTTTTTGTATTCTTTCCAAACATAACAGGATGTAACGAACCTCGCTGCTGACATTACAAAAATCTCTTGTGATGTGACTTGACTCACCTATTGATATGCGACATGTGACATGGTCCCAATGGCTATCTGCTCTCTACATCTCTCTACATTAGGGGCAGGCCATCGCTACTAGGTTGGAGGCCATCGCTAATTAGGTTGGAGGCCATTGCTGCTGGTAACTCCAAAGAAGATTGTTATTCTAAGTCTAAATTCATCTCTCTACACCGAAGTAGTAACAAGAAGCTATTAGTAACAAGTGCCACGCTAGTAGGAACAAGTGCCTTACTAGTAGAAACAATGTTTGCTATTAATTCGCGAGGGTTCCACCCGGTCCATCTGCAATTCGCCCACGCCAACATCCACTCGTGCGTTCAGGACACCCTCCGCAACCCACTGTATCCTCCACCTGCGAAGCTTCAAGCTTCTCGTTAAACATGCCAGGAGATCTTGACCGATCTTCTGTGGATCTACTTGAAAGAGGCCATAACCTTAAGTTTCCCTAAAAATCTAGGAACCAAATCATTTGTGCGAGCGCTTCTTCAAGGAAGCTTCCCCCCCGCTTTTAGCGCGGCGGAGGGAGCTTCCTTGAAGAAACGTAAGCTATCCTGCGTCCAAGGTAGTACCGTTCTTGTCTCCTACTAGCTATCTCCAGCTACTACCTCTATAGAGCGTTTTCGTTAAATTCGAATTAATTTCTTCCTTTCTTACTACTAGTAAGGCACTTGTTCCTACTAGCGTGGCACTTGTTACTAATAGCTTCTTGTTACTACTTTCCTTTCTTCGTTCCTGACTCCGTTTCAAAGAGTCGGCCTGCCGTTGCCATGGTTTCCCTCCAAGACGGTGGAGCCCACGAGCCACTCGGTGGGCTTATGCCAAAAGAGGATCCCGGCTGTGCGATAGAAGTAGACCTGACGAAGACATTCGCTAGGGCCGCTAGGTTGCTAGGGCCTCATACTGTGTTTCAAACAGCATTTTTTTTGAGCTCGGCCCAGTGACAGGTATTGTAAAGTTGTCCGGGTTCTGTGCAAAGTCGCCCATGAAGCAGCCGTTCTCGATGAAGGTGGTATCAAAAATGGGAGACCCGGTGAAGTAGCAGTGCCTGGGCGTAGGCTGCGGGTTCAAGGGCGCTAGAAGCTACTAGTAACAAAGGGCATCGCTATTAGGGACAAGTGCATCGCTATTAGTAGCAAGCACCCTACTCGTAGCTCCTGGCATTACTAGTAACAAGAAGCTTCAAAGGCACGCACCTCACTGTCGATCAAATGACACACAATCGTCCAAGAGGCTTGGTGATGGCCAACATTCCTCGAGGGCTTCGCCAGGCGCCAGTGGTACCGGTAGAGTCCAGGCCACAAACCAATTCTGAGTCACCATAGCTGTGAAGCATCAGCCGATCCTCTGGCAAGAAACTAAATTTCTCGACAGTTTCAGAGGTCCGACAACTCTGCAAAGTGTTGGGAAGGAAACTCATGGGGTCTTGGTTACTCCCGAATCTGCCATGCAAAAGAAAAACTTCGCTACTAGTAACAAGGGCCTCGCTACTAGTAACAAGGGCATTACTACTAGGAGCAAGGACGCTACTAGGGGCTCCTGGCCTTACTAGGAACAAGAAGCTACTAGGATTGTCGAAGTCGTTTGACAGATCTGACGCTCCTGGCGACATCGCACTGTGGCCGTGCTGCGATATGAGCGGTACGGAGAGCTGTAGGAGACCTGAAGCATGAAAATGCGACCAAAACGCACCAAGTCTGAGGTCGGAAATCAGAATGGTTTTGCTTTGAAGTCTGTTTGGTTTGATCGGACGGATTGTCTTTGCTGTGCCCTTCTGTATCTCGGATTATTGCTCTTTGGAAACACGCCGCCATGCTGTACAGCGAGATTGAGATGAAGAAACCTGTCTGATATGACTAGCTGCCTAGCTTACACGGCTTATCCTTACAATGCAAAACCTGTACGCCGCGTTTGACCGCGACAGCAGATCCAAGTGCAAGTGCACCAGACGCATCAAAATGAATTTCAGTGCAATGTGAAGAACTGACGTTGATTTTTGTGTATTTTGTTGTGTGAGTAGTGGTGTTAAGATACAGATTGATGTGAAGACTGAAGGGGTGCAAAGCACTAGCAAGCTGATAGGGCAATGTTCGAGTGGGATCCTCTGCACCACTGAATATTAGCGTGAACGCGACATGGCAGAAGGTTTTTGCGCGACATCCTGGTGGGTTCTCCCTGACAACTTAACAACCTGCAAAGTTCATTTAATTCGACAAAACAACATGTTCTCTCTCTCTCTCTCTCTTACTCATGAATTATAGTGGATTGAGAGTAGATGGCACAGACCCCAAGAGGTGGTTTATATGGACCCCCATCTAAAGGACATCTTGGGGTCTGTGCCATCTACTCTGAAACCACTATACCTCGCACGACTCCTACGCATGTCATCATGTAGACATATTCAGCTCCCGTGTCAGATTTGCAAGCTCTCATGAGGTAGCTTGTGCACATGCCAATCTTACCTCACTTGTCTTTTCTTCTAGTTATGTTGAACCTTCGCAGTTCCAAATTAGTCATGCATGTTGTAGGAAACCCGAAGCTAGGTCAAGTGGCGGTGCGCAGCCCTGGGTCCATCTCCAGGTACTCGGAATTCCTCAGTCACTATGTCTCCATATTGCCAGTTTCTTGGAGGGCCACATGTAAAATACGAGGAACGAAGAATAAGTATAAACAAAAGGGGCCAAAGGTCTAAAGGAAAAATGACAAAGAGTCAGAAATTCTTCTGCCTACGTCACATGGCCCAATGAATTTGGACATCAAAAAGGAAGCGGTGTGGAGTATATCGTGATCTGGTCGGACCGGTGCACCGCTCACTGGAGATGATAAACGCTTTGTCAAAGCATGTTGGATTTTGCAATCGGGGCCGGCAGAATGTGATCACAAGGTGCCCATTGAAACCAAGAAACACAATGGTGTAGGCCGTCACAGGTGGACACCAATAGTTTAGCGGACTGCACTGAACTTGGCCAGAGATGTCCCCACCTGGAAAGACAGCATCCCGTAAGCAGCATGCAACGTCTATAACAGAAAACATGAAACTACTAGGAGCAAAGAGCATCGCTACTAGGAGCAAGGACGCTACTAGGGGCTCCCAGCCTTACTACTAGGAGCAAGAACGCTACTAGGGGCTCCTGGCATCGCTACTAGGAAC